GGTATGGTCGTATGTATCAGAAATACGCTCAATTGATCATTATGACCATTGAGGATACGCTTGCAAGCTCACCTGGTACAGCTCAAGCCAATCGTCCAACGGTTCAACCCGGTATTGTCCACCTACTCCCGTACAGACCAATATGAGATATCTTTGAACAAAGCATTTGCTACTTGAAAGTTGAAAGTTGAACCCAGAGCTACTGCCACGACTTCTCATATCGATGTCCCATAAGATGTAGTTCAGCGGGATCCCAGTAATCATCATTCATCCAGGCCGCGCTGTTACCCGTGTCATTCTCATCTTGCAGGCAGCAGCTTCAGTAGAGATAAACAAAAGTAAGTCAGTCATATGCGCAGCGGTAGTTAGTCTAACAGCTCCTCTGTCATGACTCCTCGGTTACTCCAAGCCTGACTCTGAATACAACACTCTACAATGTTAGTTCTAGGTTGGGGAAAGTTCCTGCTTCAATTGTGCTTCTTCAATTAACTAGAACCACTGTTATAAAAGATGGTAGTAGCTCGACTGGGTTTCAAAGCTGATGTTAAAGGTAGCATTGTTTAATTCATTACAGGCATCAGTACTTCAGATTTCAAGTCACTATCCTATACACTCTATCTTGACAGATAAACTATAATGTATTGAATTGCTCTGGAGGTTTTTAATCCCCATGGAGAAAACAAGCTTATCTGTCAGAATACCAAGCTTTGTAGACGGATATAAGTTTAAGTAATTGTATGTTCTTTTGCTATCAGATTGGTTATCAATCCCGGCCGTTGTGGGGCCGAATCGGCCCCAGTTTTTGCGACCGGGCTAAATAAGATTGCACTCGCCCGGCTGCCGACTTCGGCAACAGGGCTTCATATGAACACAAGCAGGCCATGTGGTTCTTAAAAGAAAAGTGTAGTAAAGTGAGTAGCCAATTGACGCCAAAGTCGTAGGCCATACTATGTCTAAGTCCTTTGACTTTTTTCTTGAGTGAAAGAAAAGTAAGGCACAACTTGAGTAAAAATCAGACTCTTGTTTTTCAGGGTCAAGATTGACTCAGGTGTAGATCCATTTCCCCATCCTGAGACGCTTATCTCTGCTGGCCCATCAATAACGTTATGGGGTCGGAGATTCCGTCCGAGTTCAGTTAAGGATTTCGCAGGATTGCTCGCCATATCGGTAACAATACTGCTCATGGTGAGCCACCAATAGATCCCCGAGGAGACGATAAAGACTCTGTCTTTCTCCACCTTGTATAGACTAGCGGCTCAAACATGCTCTTTTCGTATCCACATCGGTCGTGGGAATAAAGAGGAAGGGCGCAATTTACCAAACAATGTATCCGTAAGGGTTGTTGGTTTAAATCCTTTGCGTGCCGTTTTCCGGTCTTCAGTGTTGTCAGTTTTGTGAAAAAGGCCCATATCTTGCCATTGCCCCCTGTACCCTTAGGTAGAACCGTTGTTCATTCATTGTCATTTATAATCAAGGGAACCCTTTTTGAGCCGGCATGACGACAGCCTATTGTGAAGAAATCTGACATTGCAACTTACAATCCCACAACCTCCAAGCTTGCGATAGGAGCGCGCAAATGGTCATGGCAGGTGATCTTGAAAAGGCTTCGCCAGTCAATGGCGCTGAGTCGTCTTCCGCAGCATCTTCGACAGCGTCGTCGCCAGTATTGGAGCCTATCAGAACTGTTGAAACGCGCCGCAGCCGTCCGCGCGACCCTGACGTCTTTGAACCATTGGAACATGCTCTCACCCCAGATGTTGAGACTGAGGCGGAACGCGAGGCACGCGAGCCTATCACTTACACAAGAACTGGCACAAGCGTAACGAGCAACGCATCTCGGCCTGCCGACTTTGAGGTGTTCTTCCAAGATGGTGATCCTGATAATCCCCGGAACTGGTCGAAAGCGTACCGCTCCTGGATCATTGTTTGTGTCTCATATTCCACCTGGGTGGTCGTTCTGTACAGTACATGCTATACGGCATCAGTTTCTGGTCTGGCGGAAGAATTTGGGGTTACATCTACAGTGACAACATTGGGTCTGACGACATACTTGCTTGGTCTCGCTGTCGGAAGTCTCATCGTGGCGCCCCTGAGCGAATTGTATGGTCGGCAGAAAGTATACATCCTCTGTCTAACCGTTTGGGCCCTTTTGATCTTGCCTTGCGCCTTGGCGACTTCGGTAACGGAAATCATTGTCGTGCGGTTCTTTGGGTAAGTGTTTATGCTATGTGTCAATTCCGATATACTGACAAAGATACAGTGCTGTGTTTGGTGCCGCCATGATCTCAAACAGCCCCGGCACTATCGTTGATATCACAGATCCAGATCGTCTTGCTGCTGCCATGTCCATGTGGTCAATCGCACCTCTGAACGGACCTTCTACTGGGCCCATAATTGGAGGCTTTGTATTCCAATACATGGGTTGGCGATGGGATGCCTGGATTCCTTTGATACTCGGTGGCGCTGGTGTCCTTATGATGCTCACAGTCAAAGAGACATACCATCCAGCCATCCTGAAGCAAAAGGCTGCGCGACTCCGGAAGGATAACGACGATCCGCGGTATTGGTGTCAGTATGACCAGAAGCTGTCAACTTGGCATCTCATCAAGGTCAACATGAGTCGTCCTTTCACTCTGTTGGCAACTGAACCCATCTTGTGGTTTATGGATATTTGGTAAGTTTTGTTGAGTTCTCCATTTCCATGAGCTCTCCCCCCATTGAAGAGACATTTACTGACCAGTATCCAGGATTTCGCTGATTTATGCTATTCTTTACCTCTGCTTTGTGGCTTACCCGATTGTTTTCTCTCATCATCGTGGCTGGGATGCAGGCATGTCTGGCCTGGCTTTTGTTGGCATCGGTGTGGGCACGATGATTGCTATCTTCGCTGAACCTCTCTTCCGACGTGTTATCAACTCTCAACCTCGCGATCCTGTAACTGGCAAACCTCCGCCTGAGGCAACAGCTTTGGTCATGGCCATTGGCGCAATTCTGACGCCTGTGGGTCAGCTCGTCTTCTCATGGACGTGTCTTCCAGCATCAATCCATTGGGCCATCCCAATTGCTTTCGGCATTCCTTTTGGTGCTGGAAACACCATCTCCTTCATATATGGGTCAAATTACCTGGCTGGCACATACTCCATCTATGCTGCCAGTGCACTTGCCGGTAATGCCGTCCTTCGAAGTATTGCCGGAGGTGTCTTGCCTCTAGCTGGTCCCAAGATGTATGAGGCCATGACTCCGCAGTGGGCTGGTACGTTTTTGGGGCTTCTCGAGGTGGCAATGATTCCAATCCCGTTCGTGTTCTGGCGATACGGAGCGAAAATCAGAGCGAAGAGCCCTACTGTTAGAGCGCTTAGGGAAGAGCAGGATAGACTTGATGCGAAGAGGGCCAAGTACCAGAAGAATTTGGAGAAAAAGCAGAAGCGGGAGGCGGAAGAAGCGAAAGGAGACGGGGGTGTTTTGGAGAAAACAGGAAGCAGTTGAAGGGATTAAAAGGTATTGGATATAGCAACTCGCTTGGAAATGGCTACATGAATAATGATAAGCTTGTGGTTTGAAACAGCACGATGAATGCCGCTTACGTGTTTGTGTGCTTGGTCTGCTTTGCACCTGCCCCGTGTAAGTCGAGTAGAACCCAAGTGTCAACAATTCAAGCAGGTACAGCTCAGAGGAGCTTCCATTTTGACTCTTATGCTAAAAGAGATTATCTATGACTTTCTTGTCTTAGAGCACATCATACCACTCATTCTTGAATCAAAAAGAACAGAAAGAACAGAAATTGTCAAAAAGAAACGATTACTCAATCCCATGGGAATCTATAGGAACAGCCCGATGCGGG